ACCTATTATTTGCATGCGATATATCTGATACGCCCAAGACGAGAGTTTATTTAAGAATTATTATTTAATTTATTAAAATGTTGCGAATTTGATACAAACTGTTTCTAGTAATATTATAAAATAGGTATTTAATTTGTCATATATGCGTAGATGTAATCTAGTAGATTACTGTATAAAGTTGATATAAGAATCGAATATTTGTAGAGACGATCATGTATTTCTCAGATGTTCTAACTATCGACAAAAATATTGTCATTTCAAGAATGATCAGAAAGGTTCACTAATCCCACAGTGGTGCTTCAGAGGCAGAGAGCAATCTAAAGAAATCAGCAGAAAATCATAAATTCTTTACTAAGCTTATGATTTTCTTCTGTTCCCAAAGAAGAAACTAATTTGTTACCAATATCCCAGAAACGATAACAATTAACCAACAATACAAGTATCTCAAACTATCCTCTAAGCCCTAATAATGATTTCGTTGATTCTCCAGAAACAGTTGAGGACAATTATTAGTATCAAATGATCCGCGAAATAGGAATACATTAACTGAGAAAATTAAATATGTATATTAAAAAGTTCAATTTTTCAATAAAGAGTAGTAACTTTTAAATTCCACAAGAATATACAGAATCAAATGGTAAATTAAAGAGACACTTAACCAAGTCAATATTCACTCGTCAACTAAAAAATGGTGAAAATGTCGATAGATCGTATATATTATATTATGGTAGGACAAAAAAAATGTTACTCACCTGTCATATATAAAATTCCACTCAATGCTTTTATTTTTATGTAGTTAGTATCCGATGCATCACGTTCGCGACTATAATTTACACGTGCCTTTGATATATAAATATATTAGTGCAATTTACTATTGTATCTAACATAGACTTGGTAAAAAACACTTGCCAACATTCAAGAATATTTGTTTTGTTTCTAATCATTGGTGAAACACCTGATTCATATATATACAGTTCGCGTGGAGCAATTCAAAGAATTTTGTGATTTTGTAAATGTCGAGTTCAAAAACATTTTGGGTACTGTTAAAACACGATGGTTATCTTTGTTACCAGCTGTTACTAGAATTTTAGATTTATTACCAGCATTAAAAACGTATTTTCTAACTCAAGATAAATGTCCTATAATTTTAAAACAGTTTTTCGATAACCCTGTTTCTATTGCATGGTTGTATTTTATTCAAAGTCAATTGAAGGTAGTTTGCGACACAATAACGATAATTGAAAGCGACAATATTTCAACAAGTGAAGTATATGAAGAACTGGAAGTAGTATGTGGAAAAATAAGGAACAGGCAAAGCCAACAAATTTTTACATCAAAATTAGCTTTAATCATTGAAGAACTTGATAAAATAAAGATATACAGCAAAAATAATTTTATAGAAAAAGTTGATGATTTTTATAGTGTTTTCTTATCTTACGTAAAAAAACGGAGTTTTCATTTTGAACCGTTCAAAATTTTTCGATGGACTCAATTATTAGATATTCCTACTAGAGTAGACGTTCAAGAAAGTATTCAATATTTATTTAAAAATAAAAAACTCAACCTGGATTTGAACATGGACGAGGATAAGTTATTTGATGAATATAATCATGTAGTTCATGTGATACAAGTTAAAATTGTAGAATGGAGAAATTGTTCAAAAAAAGTAACAGAAAAATGGTGTGAAGTATTTAAAATACTAGAAAAAAATCAAATTTCTATCAACAACTTATCAACAATTATTGAATACTCATTGGCTATTCTTGGGACAAATGCATCTGTAGAAAGAATTTTTTCAATAACAAATGTATTGTGGATAGATGAAAAAAATCGTTTTAAAGTCGAAACCATCAGATCAATAATTATTGCAAAACAGCACTTTAAAAGCTTAACTTGTTCACAATTTTATGAATTTCTTTTGAAGCACCCAAAATTGTTGAATTCAATAAGTTCTTCAGAAAAATACGAAAAAATAGTAGAAAGTGTGGAAGAAGGATTATCAAATTCATGAATAATGAAAAAAAATGTAACAGTGATTTCCTATATGTATAAAGATTTTGTATTATGTTATATTCTTGAAAAAATTAATATTTTTTTGATTTATTATAAAAAAGTAAATATATATGTTAAGGTGTATGACCGCAGTAGGCGAATGTTGACAGTCACCGGTGTAGGTTGACATATACCAAAACCCGTAGGTGAATGTTGACGAAATTGTCTTTATGCGTTCATACACCGGTGATTGTTGACATTTACAGTCAGTGTTTGGTAAATGTTGACCACACTTGAAGCACTATGTATGTAAAATGTATTTTTGTATTATTTTGTAAAATCAAGATGTTATCGCCCAGCTACAATATGCATTGGAGACGTTTGGACGTTAGTAATGTTATCGCATGAGACAATCCGATTGTCAATCGTTTTCTAGATAAAATAATATAAATATACCCTTGTCAGTATCGGATGCGTATTCTAAACCGAGCGCAACAGTTTAGTGTAATACAACGGGCCTTAGTGTAATATTTTATTAATATTATACTTGAATTAAAACTAATAATGGATAAAAGTATAAAAGATATTTTTTATGAAAAGTTTAGTGGACTTTTATTAAAAAAATGGAAGATAATTGTTTTTATTTAAGCACTGAAAAATATAATAAATATATAAGTGAAGTTAAAAATGCTAAAGCAAAAAAAAGTAAACAACGAAGTGATTACAGACGATTAAATCGATTTGACGTTATGGATATTATGGATAATCATAAACTAATCGTTCCGTTAAAAGCAGGTGAAACTAAAATTATTTACTATGTAAAGAACGAAGAACTATACGACATTATGTACGAAGCTCATTTAAAAATTGGTCATGGAGGGCGAACCAGAATGATGAACGAATTGCAGAACAAATTCAAAAATATAACATATGAAGTTGTTATGTTATTTTTAAGTTTATGTGTTCAATGCCAAACCAAATAAAAAGTTCCGAAAAAAGGTATTGTAATCAAACCTATTATAAGTCGTGAACTAAATTCCTGGTGTCAAGTAGACTTGGTAGATATACAAACTTGCAAAGATGGTGAATTTAAATTTATATTAAATTATCAGGATCACCTAACCAAATTTATTCAATTATGACCTCTAAAATCTAAAACTGCAGAAGAAGTTGCACATCACTTATTAAATTTTTTTCTTATTTTCGGTGCGCCAAATATTTTACATTCCGATAATGGACGAGAGTTCGTAAATAAAGTTATATCAGAGCTGTGTTCAATGTGGGATGGTGTGAAAATTGTGCATGGTAAACCACGCCACAGCCAAACACAAGGATCCATCGAAAGGGCAAACCAAGGTTTCCAAAATATACTGAGAGCTATGATGGAAGATAATGACACTACAAAATGGTCAGAAGCATTACCATTTGTCCAATTTGCGAAAAATACAACGTATCATCAAGGTATAAAACAAACGCTATACGAAGCTATGTTTGGCACTAAAGCACAAAGAGGTCTTTTAACATCTTCTCTTCTACGAGAACAAATAGAAAAACTAGCAACAAAAGAGGAGTTAGAACAAATACTTCAGTCTGTAAGTAAATATAAATTATAAAATTATAATAAATATATTAATATGCATAAAGTGTGATCGATATATAGTAACTAAATAAGAATATTTTTGACAGCCCCTCAAACTGACCCAGAAAGTAAAGGAAGTGATGAAAATGAAGTAGAGGAAGAGTATAACGGTAAAAGCGACGATAATCTTGACAATCAAGCAAATAATGATGAAGATAAGCTCAGCGATAAAATTGATGGCAAAAACCAAAATGAATTATTAAGTATGTAATTTAAAATAATAATACCTATTACAAAAATAATTCAAACAAATATTTTGTATTTAAAAGACATAAATGAAAAGAAGGAGAATACAATTAAGAATAGAGCTTTGGCACTAAATGGACTTCAAACACAAGCAAGTGTAATGCTGCGATCGTCGAACCAAAAATTTCCGCCTGCTCAAGTGGGTGATACTGTTCGAGTGCGAGTTCCAGATATCGATCGAGGACGTATGGATTACCAAAATATCTTGGCTGTTATAATGGACGTTGATAATGACTTATACAAATTAGGAACAAAATATAGGATTATTAGTCAGCTGTACACTCGAAATCAATTTGCAGTGTGCAAAGAAAAATTGATATCGTTAAACGACGTTTTATCCAATCAGAAAATGTCTTTGAGACAGGTATCGACAGCTGCTTCCAAAAAGTGGTGGCCAAGGTTATATACGATGCAATTGTAAAAAAAAATGTAGTACAAAAAAATGTAATTGTAAGAATGGAGGAATACTTTGTAACAGTAAATGCCATGATAGTTTACCGTGTTGTAATAAATAAAACTTAATAAAGCATATGCTACCTAAACTTAAATATTAAAAAATTAATTTGTTCAACTGTATATTTATTTATGAATTTATTAGCTATCTAATATCTATTTGATTATATATGTTGTCGTTGTCACACATGTCAACATTCACTAAATAGCTATTGCGCATGTCAACAAATACTGGTAAATGTCCGCATTGTGAGACATTTGAAATAATTGATAACATTCACCAAAATGATTAGTAAATGTCGACATACACCGGTGACTGTCAACATTCACTGCTATGCGGTCATACACCTTAAGAGGGCGTCAGAGTAGAAAAAAATCAACCGTAAAACATGCTTTCGTACTTCCAATAGTTCTCAGGCCTCGTTGATCGTAGAAACATGATTTTGGTATCAAAATAATCACGAGAAGATGTACTAAATATTCTTGGAACAGAATTTAAAAATATTTTTTCTAACCAATTTTATTTGTGTTTGAAGTTTGTAAAATTTTCATTTTTTTAAAAAATTATATAAAATCGGCAAATTTAGATATCAAAAATCTGTTCCAAGAATATTTAGTACAACTTCTCGTGATTATTTTGATACCAAAATCATGTTTCTACGATCAACCAGGCCTGAGTACTATTGGAAGTACGAAAGCATGTTTTGGCAAAAAAATTATGAATTTGCCGTCGTCATGTGCTGCTAAAACGATTATAGCGGCAGCGTTCTGAAATAGTACTTCTTTCACCACCCCGCTTGCATAAGCAGCCGTACCGCATCATATGTCAAAACTGGTTATTTATCGTATCCGCGCACGGGTTATAAATAGCCAAATACGTCAATACGAAAATAATAATTTTGTCAATGAATAATATTATTTTATTTTTCGATGTTATAAATCGTATTCTTATTACTATCGTATTTTGCGCAAAATGGAACTACATAATATTATATTGTAAAATTGTCACACATCAGCTAGAAAACGTACGATTTAAACAATTTTTTTTTTCATTTATTATAGACAATTGCTCCATAAAATTAGCGTATTGATATTCAAGACGAATTTTTTTAAATTTAAATTAGTTGAACTGTATAAGTAAAAAAAGGTAGCCAAGTGGGTGTCGCTCTGCTTTACAGTAGGTTACAAGTGAGCACTACATACCTACTGGATTGTGTTAAATTTGAATTCAGTGTTGTATAAGACAGCGTTTCCCAAAGCTGTGGCGTGTAACCTAGGGTCCAAGTGTTGCTCAAGCAACACCTTAAATATTGGTGGGTGGGTACTGGGTGGGTATTGCTAGAAGGACAATATTATCACAATAATAAACTAATTAAGTGTTTATAGAAAAATACAATATAAATATAATTATAGTATTTGAGTAGTGAGTGTAGTGTAGAGTAGTGTCATAGTGAGTACCTACTTATATATGGCTATACAGGTACCTAGTATTATTATTAAAACAAAACGATAGTAGGTATATTATAATTTATAACTAATTTATCATGAGTACTTAAAATATTTTATAATGCCTAACCGAGAAAATGATAATAAATGATAAAATAATATCCAATATTACGATGTAAATCAAAATAAAAAAATATCAAATTAGTAATGACGACATTACGTAATGATTAGATTAGAAGACAAAAATAAACGGGACCTTCTGGCTTCCACTAGTTCCACAGAAAATCTATTTTTAATTTTTATACATATTGTAGTTAATGGAATATTGGATATTATTTAATCGAAGTAATTTGTCAGTTGCATAAACTGCAAAGCGCAAGTTGTCACAAACTAACATCAGAAAATTCTAAATGCATAGTACGTAAGTGCGTTACTGCGTTCACTGTGTTCTTGTCTTCTTGGTTGTAGCCGTAAATCGTAATAGTGTATTATATGCCTATAGACTAGTGTAAATTATTGTACTATTATAGGTATATTTTATAATTTTTGACTTTTGTCAATAAAAAAAAACATAATGTCAGATTCCAATTACGCTGCTTGTTTATGTGGTAAAAAGCGATTAAAGTTAAATGAAACAAACTGGAAAAGACATTTGACTTTTTGTAAAGTCGCAAAATTAAAAAAAAACAATACCGTTGTCGATGTACATAATTTTTTTACAAAAAAACGTAAAATAAATAATGAAGATGTACCAGAAAAAGGTAAGTACAACTTTATAAATGCTCATACTATTGCCTTCAAAATATTTGTTATTATCATTAAAATTATAAATAGTTCTTATAAGAAAAAACAAAATTTCAGTTTTAGAGAAAAAAATAGGTACCTAATATGAAATATATTTTTACGAAGACGTGTTTATTGTCTTAATTAAATAAATATAATTTACAATTTTATAAACAATAAACTCATAATATTATTCATTGACATTTGACATTGATCATACCCGCTGGCCACCACCACTACCTACCTACATACTTTGTTAATATTTTTCTAGAACTTGAGTTTATATTTTTATCATTTTTTTAGACATTGACTTAAATTTAATTGGTAAAATTGAATCAACTGCAGACAATTGTGACTCTATCTAATCTTCATTTCTTTTAGTTGAATAAACCATTTCACTTCTTTATAAATTGATTTATAGTTTTAAGTTTTAAATTACAATTACCGAATTACCTATAACCAAGGTACCTATTATAAGTTATAATTTAAACACTTAATTACTTAAGACTTAATCTAACAAACTAATACATATAATTTTGGATAAGTTATTTATTATTTTTTTGTTCAATGTAATTTAAACTTTAAATACAATTTTTTTCCTCTAGAAATGTACCTATTTAATATATCAAAAAACAAAATGTTTGTCTTGTCTTATTCATAAAACATTAAAATTATAATATAAATTCTATTTTTTTTTTTTAGACATTGACTTAAATGTAATTGATAAAATTGAATCAACTACAGATAATTGTGATCAAATAGATAAATGTCAATTTAATAATTCAACAACAATAATTGATGCAGTACATTCAGATAGTATTCATTTGGCTTCAGTCACTTCAGATTTATCTCGGTCTGGTATGTGAAATTTTGGATTCCTATTTCCTATTATATAGCTAACTTATTATAATTCATAGGTAATGATTTTAAGTCTAAACAACCAGTTGGAACCAATCATGTAGACTTATCTAACGATCCCGATAAATATAAAATGCTTGTTGATTTATCACCTACGATAGTTGATTTTTTAATTAAAAAAGGACCTATGCAGCCAACTGTTGATGATCTTCCTACTCGTGTTTTTCCCAAAGATAAATTTGGCCGCAGTTTCCAGACTTCATGGTATTGGAAATCTCTGCCTGGTAATGTAAATGTCAGAAGAGATTGGCTCAGTTATTCTGTATCAAGTGATAAAATGTTTTGTCATCATTGTTTATTGTTTGGGCGCAATATTAACAAAGCATGGTCTGTAGACGGAGTTGCTTCGTGGCCGAGAGCTTTGCAAAGTATGCAAATTCATGAATGTTCAGAAGCACATATTGAAGCTTCCCTTAAATTAAAATTGAAAAAAATATCATTACCCATACTACCTTTATTAGAAGAAAAACATAGACGAGACAAAGCTATTAACAAAGAGATTGTTCTGGACTTGATTGATATTACTTTTTTCCTTGCAAAAAACTGTATTGCATTTCGTGGACATAAAGAAAGTTTAAAAGAAGAATTGGGTAACCGAGGAAACTTTTTAGATTTAGTTCATTTGATGTCTAAACGTTCACCATGCCTTGCTTCTTATATAACTAAATTGCAATTATCGACAAAAAAACAAAACGTTAGTCTTATTTCAAATATAAGACAGAACCAGTTAATTGGATCACTTGCTTCAGCAATAAGAACATCAATACAAGAAGAACTAAAAACTGCTCGGTTTTTTAGCATATCAATTGACTCAACTTTTGATTTATCTAGGAAGGAACAAATTTCATTTGTTGTACGCTATGTAAATTCAACAGTTGGAACTGTATCTGAGCGGTTAATAGCGCTAAGAGAATCATCAGTTACGACTGGCTTTCAATTATTTAATATTTTTGAAAAACTATGTGTTGATTTATCTATTGATTGGGAACAGTATTTAGTGGGACAGTCTTATGATGGTGCTCAGAATATGAGAGGTGAATTCCAAGGATTAAAAACTTATGTACAACAAAAATGTCCGTCTGCAACTTTTATTTGGTGTCACGCACATAGGTAATTTACATTTTAGTTTTTATAAATACTATTCTTTTATAAATTTTTTTTTCTTTTAGGCTAAACTTAATTGTTGCCAAGTCTGTTGGTTGCAATATAAATGCCATAGATCTTTTTGGTAATCTAGAGTCAGTATACAATTTTATATGTGGAAGTAAAAAAAGAGTGGCTATTTATGAAACTAAACAAGATTGTTACTGCAGTAAAAGAACTCGTAGGCTCAAGCGAGTTGCTACAACACGTTGGATGTCGCATGGATATGCCCTTGATTCAATATTAGAAACATTTGAAGCTGTCATTGAAACTCTAGATGATGTCAGGAATAATGAAGGCTGTAATGACCAAAGTACTGGACATATTGCTGGTTGTCTTATAGAATACCTTCTTTCTAGACGGTTTTTGTTAATCGCATTTTGTTTTAAATACATTTTTGAGATTCTTGGACCAGTCAACATTTTATTACAAAGTAAGGATCTTGACTTACTTTCGGCAATGAACAGCATACATAATGCTCAGCTAGATATTCAGAACCTTCGTGATGGTAATATTTTTAATAAGATATTGATTGATGTTAATAATTTTATAAACAAGTTTAGCCAATTTGAATTTTCTGATAAGCTTAATCAGAGAATTCGTCGTAAAAAAAAAAAATGCCAGGCGAAGAGGTTTCTGATGATCCTATAATAGATCCATTAGAAAACTTTAGAGTCAATACATTTTATGTTTGTTTGGACATAATAAATTCAGCATTTGATGAATACTTTGATAATAGTTCAATTGGAATTTATAAAGATTTATCATTGTTCAGTAAAAAAAGGCTAGATGAAGTAAAAAAGAATCCAGCATCACTTCCAAAAGATGCTTTTTCAATGTTTTGTAAGGTTTATGGAAAGTATGTTGATCAAGACTGTTTAAACAAAGAGTACATTCATTTTTCAAAGATTTTTACCTCATTTGAAGAAAATATTAATCTGCCCAAATATTTGCATGGAAAAGACCTCATAGAAAAAGAAGGAGAAGAAGAATTTTCATCAGAATCAGAATCAGATAATGAAATTGAAATGGAACCTAGAAAAGTGATTAATGTAGGGAGTATGAAAGCACTGTATCAAATTTTTCATGCTGGTAACTTGGGTTCAGTGTTTCCAACTCTTAATAATGCCCTTCAAATTGCTTTGACACTTCCTGTTTCAAGTGCTTCTACAGAACGGGCATTTTCAAAGCTCAAAATAATTAAAACTCGTTTAAGAACTACCATGAATAACACACGTTTAGAAGATTTGATGTTAATCACATGTGAACAAGACATGTACAAAAATTCAAACAAAGTTTTAGAAATCTTTGCATCAAACAGTACTGAACTATGTAAAATGATAATTTAAATAAAATATTATAATTGCCTAATGGATTTTTTTATTTATATATTTTTTTAAAAACCGATGCACAACTTGCGCAAAAATGTAATTTACTAAATTAAATTAGTACATTAAATAATAGGAATAAAATTTAGCAACATTTTATCGGTAGGTACTAGGTATAACAAAAGTATAAGGGGTAGGTCACCTAAAATTATTTGAGCAACACCAATTTTTTTTTGGATACACGCCACTGTCCCAAAGTGTGTTCCGCGGAACCCTAGGGTTCCGCCGGACTATCTCAAGGATTCCGTCAGATGTATGTGATGTCGAGAAAATTATTTAAATTATATTTGGATTATTTATATAAAAAATATTATTAGTTAATATTTATAGTAGATTTGTAGAATTTAGATAAGCGTGTCAAAGCGATTGCCAGTAAATTGTGCGATAACTTATAAAAATAACTTATGTGCACGAGTTCGCTTTCGATACGATCGAAACATTATATCCGTAATCGTAATGAGTTAAAATTAAGAGATTATGATTCAGTTGGCATATAGTTTTCATACGACATACTTCGTGTACGTTGTTACTGCGTTATTAATTATTATTTATTATAAATACAACATAACTACAAATAAAAAGTTTGCCATGCATAATTGGCTTAAAACAGGACAGTTGTTGGCCAAAACAACAAGTAATAATATTGATGAGACTGTGGCGTCTTCATCAACAATAGAATCTCAACAAGTTATATTGAAAGATGCTATTCCTAGTTGTTCGGTAAGAAATTTGAATAAAATTAGTTAATTTTTAGTCGTTTCCAGATTGTTATTATAATTATTATAATTATATATTATAATATTATATTGTCATTATTATTATTTAATTTATTTTAGATTACTAATGTCATTGAAAAGAATTCTCATAGTAATATTTCGGAAAAAAGTATAGTTGTACCTGAAATTATTGAGTTAAAATCTTCGAAAAAGAGAAAATACGATGAATCCTACCTTCAATTTGGATTTATTCCTGTTGGTACTGTAGAAAGGCCTGATGGACAATGTGTTATTTGGAATGTAATTCTTCAGAACAGTTCTTTGGCACTTGCAAAACTTAAACGACACCTCGAAACCAACCATCCAAATTTGATGAACAAGGAAATGGGCTATTTCAAAAAACGTAAAGAAGAACATAATAGCAGCTTGTCTGCCTTACATAAATACGCGAAAAACGACCGTGAAAATGCAACAGAAGCATCATTTATTTTGAGTTACAGCATTGCTCGTGCTGGTAAACCACATACAATTGCTGAGTCTCTAATTAATCCATGTATGACTGAAATAGTTCGCTGTATGATTGGAGAAGAGGCTGCTAAGAAAATTGCAACTGTTCAATGCTCCAACAACACTATATCTGATCGGATACATAAAATATCAGACCATATTGAAGATTAACTAATAAACAGGTTGAAAAATAGTAACATGTTTGCTATTAAACTTGACGAAAGTACTGACGTTGCTGGACTTTCAATACTGCTTGTTTTCGTGAGGTATATTTTTGAAACATCTATCGAAGAAGATTTATTGCTTTGTACTCCTTTGGACACAAATACCACAGGTGAAGACATTTTTAAAGTCATCGATAGTTATATGAATAAACATCAGGTTGATTGGGTTAAATGTATCGATGTATGTAGTGATGGAGCTGCAGCTATGGTTGGAAAAATTAAAGGAATCGTGACTAGAATAAAAAATGTCGCATCAAAATGTCACAGTAGTCATTGCGTTTTACATCGCCACGCTCTTGTTAGTAAGAAAATGCCATTGGAGTTAAAACAAGTTCTTAATGAGGCTGTATATATTGTTAACTATATTAAGAGTCGTCCACTCCAGTCTAGACTTTTTAAAAAAGTATGTGAAGAAATGGGTAGTGAGCATTATTCACTTCTTCTTCACACTGAAGTCAGATGGCTTTCAAGAGGAAAGGTTCTAAGTAAGTTGTTTGAACTGCGCGATGACTTAAATATTTTTTTTTCGGGACAAAATTTATCAATATCTATGAGTTATTTCGAGTTATTACATGATGACCAATGGCTTATAAAATTAGCTTATCTTGCTGACATATTCAGTAAACTGAATGAAGTTAACAAGTCTTTGCAAGGAAAAACAATAACAACATTCGTGGTCAGAGACAAAAATATAGCATTTAGAAACAAACTTAACTTTTGGATTGCATGTGTAAACGAGAATAATTTTGAATGCTTTCCTCTCTTGATGGATTTTTTAAAGGAAAACGAATTGCAACTAACAACTAATATTAAAAAAATTGTTATCAAACATGTGGAAAACCTAGAAAAATCATTTTCTCAGTATTTTCCTGCTACTAATAATGACGTTGATTGGATACAAAATCCTTTTGTGAACCAAAAAAAACCTGAAATGTTATCCATGCTCGAATATGAGCAGTTAATTGAAATTAAAAGCATGTCATATTTAAAACAGAAATTTGAATCTGGATCTTTAAACGAATTTTGGATTGAACTTAAGGACGAGTACCCATCCCTAGTTGAAAAAGCTATTTTTACTTTATTACCTTTTGTAACAACCTACCGTTGTGAGGCTGGTTTTTCCTCTTATGCGTATACAAAAAATAAATACAGAAATAGATTGAATGCCGCTACAGATTTACGAATTCAAGTTTCAGATATAAAACCTAATTTTAAAAATATTGTAAATCAAACAATGAAACAGTTTCATTCTTCTCACTAAAAATATTAATAGAATATATATTTTAAAATCTAATTAATTATAGTTTTTTAAAAATAAATATTTGTGATAGTTAAATAATAAATGTTTGTTATTTAAATAAATAAAATTTTCATTGAAAATTGTTTTTTAACTAATTGTAATTAACAATAATCATTAAAATATTTTTTGTAGTTTTTTTTTTTTTAGAAAAAATGGAGTTGAGTTGGAAGTAAAGACATTAGGTTTCCGCAAAACACAAACTATTTCCTAAGGGTTCCGTGATCCTAAAAGTTTGGGAACCGCTGCTCTAAAGAAGTGTGATAAACTGCGGTTAACTATTATCCGTAGCTAAAAAGACAAAGTTAATTCCAATTTTATCCTTGCAGGGATTGCAGTTCTTATAATTGTATTTTCTCTCTGTATTAGATGATGTATTTTTTGTAATAGAAATTCAAATTGGTCAGGTGTTATCCTCATAAAACTTCTATACTCAAGTTGATCTTCAGTAACAAGTTCTCTTAAAATTCCAACTGAATTATCAAGGGTATCCCGTCTCAGCAACCATTTTCTTATTCGTTTTCAAGTTCTTGTATCAATATTATAACGTTGGCATAATGTTTAAACATTTTCTTTATTTATTTATTTATTCGTATGGCTTAACAAATCATTTACAGCAAAATTAAACAATAAAATAATAAAATAAAATAAAATAAAATATAAACATAAAGCATAATTTAACTAAATTTAGATTAGAAAGGTTAAGGTTTTATAAATATATAATATAATATGACATAACAATGCGTTACAGTTTACAGGTTACAGGTGTACATCCAGTTCCCTTATCCACTTTACTGCTTCCGGTGTTATTCCGGTGGATTCCTTCGATGCCCCGGTTGAATTTCCTTATCTGGCATTCCTTTATTATGTGATTTATGGTTTCAGCATAAAGGACAAGGGAACTTTTCGATCAGCAAGGTGGCTGAAGGAGTACACGCCAGATCTAAGCATAATATCGAAACCTCCAAATGATAGTAAACAACTGGCATCACGCCGTATTCTCTGTGATTTTCCTCACAGCCAGCATCGACCGGTGGTCTTAGAATATGGCCTAAAAATTCCAATAATTAGATCAATCCCAAAACCAAGATGGAATTTCAGGAAAGCCAACTGGACTGAATTCGCCAAGGAACTAGATCACCTAATACAATGGATCCCAGCAAAGGCAGAGTGTTATGATCGATTCGTGGGAGCGATAAAAATGATAGCGAAAAAGCACATTCCTAGGGGCTTCAGGAAGCAGTTCATCCCAGGCTGGGACGAAACGTGTAATGAACTGTATGCGGAGTTTCAAAGGTCAAAAGATAATAACATAGCGGATGAATTAATTAACAACTTAAACTCAATAAGAAAACAAAGATGGCATGAAAAGACAGAAAATCTAGACTTTACCCACTCCAGCCATAAAGCATGGAGCCTAATGAAAAAATTAGGCACCTCAAATAATATCACGAAAGGTCAGCATACCTTAAGACCAAATAGTGTAGCAACCAGATTAAAAAGCGTTGGAAAACTTTCAGTAGACAAAGAGCATAAACGATTAATAAAAACAGAATTAAGAAATCACAGGAAAATGCTAATGCCGCATCCAACACTGGACGCTGCTTTTACACAAAATGATGTATGCAACGCAATAAAGAAAACCAAAATAAACAAAGCTGCGGGCTTCGATGGGATATATTCTGAGTTTTTTAAATTCGCAGGACCGGGAACTCATACCTGGCTAACTATGTTTTATAATGATATTATAGATACTGCAAAACTACCAAAACAATTTAAAAGAGCGAAAGTGATTGCGTTATTAAAACCCGGGAAAGATGGTCACGAAGCCGCAGATTACCGACCTATATCATTACTGAGCGTTACGTATAAGATCTTGGAAAGAATGATTTTAGAACGTATACAACCATATATCGAAGACGTGATACCAATAGAACAGGCTGGATTTAGGGAATACCGAGGATGTGAGGAGCAAGTGCTAGCGCTCACAACTCTAATAGAATCTGGATTCCAAAGGAAATTTAAAACTAGTGTAGCGTTCATTGATTTGTCAGCGGCGTATGACACAGTATGGAGAGACGGTCTTTTGAATAAATTCGCCAAGGTCACCCCATGCAAGAAATTATTCACACTCCTAGATAGAATGCTCACGAACCGCCGCTTCAAAGTATTTTTGGGTAATAAGGAAAACAATTGGCGCACAATACTTAATGGTCTTCCCCAGGGTTCGGTACTTGCCCCGACTCTATTTAACTTATATATACATGACCTACCTGTTACGAAAGGGCTTAAGTTCCAATACGCGGACGATATTGCTATTGCTTATCAAAGCACTGATTTAGAGGATGGCGGGAAAGCACTTACTGAAGACCTCAGTACGATGAACAAATACTTCTCTAAATGGCGTTTAAAACCAAACCCTACCAAGACTGAAGTATGTGCTTTTCACCTAAACAACAAAAAGGCTAGAGAAGAGTTGAAAGTGACATTCCAAGGAGTACAATTAAAGCACAACTTCACGCCGAAATACTTGGGAATAACACTGGATCGTACGCTCACATTTAAAGAACATCTTGTCAAAACTGGAAAGAAAGTACGATCCAGAGTCAATTTAATTCAAAAACTCGCCAGTACAGGATGGGGTGCTAGCGCTAAAACATTACGGACAGCAGCACTGGCGCTAACATACAGTGCAGCTGAATACGGTGCCCAAGTGTGGTGTAATAGTGCACACGTGGAAACAGTTGACACACAATTGCATAGCGTAATGAGAGTGATTAGCGGCACGGTGAAGTCCACTCAGTTACAATGGCTACCAGTTCTAACCAATATAGCTCCACCAGACCTACGAAGAAAGCAGAAACTTATTAATACTATCAGAAAAGCCGAAGATAGGAGGAACTCACTGCTAGCTGAAAGATTAGAAGATATACCAGCACTCAGACTAAGGTCAAGGAAACCGCCTTGGAAGACAGCTAAAGACCTAATAAGATCAGGATTTGAAACCAAAAAGTGCTGGTGCGATGAATGGACTAACTCTACTTTACCAATCAAAAACAAAAATCTGGTGATGGACCCCAATCAAGGAGTTATGGGTATGGAACTGCCTAGACATGAATGGTCTGTACTAAATCGTCTTCGAACAGGCCATGGCCGTTGCGCTGATATGATGTTTAAATGGCGACTCCAAGACAGCCCAGCATGCGATTGCGGCAACGATAAACATTTTCTTTAAAAAAAGATGACGGTCCATCGTGACGTTTGGTTTACTTGCTACTTACTGAGTATTCACGAGTGAACAACAGTAGATAGTGTTCAAGTGGTTAGTGCTAGTGACAAGTACTACGGAGCGTGTAAACCCGGCATTATGCGCTCACTCACAACTCGAACCTTCTTTTCTACCTCCACCCAATGATACGCACCTCCCGCAATGCAACGTTACTAAACCGCGTGATTGACTTGATTCAATTGTTTGTTTTTTTTTGTATTATTTTGTTTAAAATAAAATTTTCTCTTTTGATATACCACGAATTTAGTTGTTCGATGAGTGTTCGATGGTATCATACGATGGCAACTGAGATAATTTTAAATAAAGTTTCATTTGATGAAGTGTTAATAATGATAGTGTAAGGTGCTACATAAGTAATATGTTATTTGTGCTTACTGCCTCAATTATTATATAAATAATACTCGACCAAATACGCAGAATTTCGAAAATAAAAATTGGTTATTTATAAAATATGATAGCGGTTGTAATTGTAGCGATGACTTTTTCTGTGATATACTTTGTACACCTAAGGGTCGCTTTACACGCAGCGACTCGGCAGCGCTACTGAGAAGCTCTGCTGTTGGAAAAAAATTAGTTAATATAGATGGTTTCATACACGACCACAGCCACTGATTTGAAGCGCTACAGACGGTGTCAGTAGTTGACTTCGCCGCAGAACGCAGTGTCTAAAAGTCGTGCTTCTCGTAATAAAACGTATTTTTAGATTGGGAGTTTCACACGTGACTGCAATCGCACAACTATTTTTGCAGCTCGTTGGTAGCACGTCGGTAGCGCGTTAGTAGCGCGATTAATCCGTGTTTGATCAAACGATTTCAATTATTATCAATTTCAGTCTTTATTTATCAGCCTGAGTGCTGTGTTCTGTCAATGTTATTAGCTCTTATATTTTGAAACAATGGCATCTGATTGTGCAAACATTAATATTGAAGATTTCATTAGTGAAATAGAAAACTGGTCCGTTATTTGGGACCTAAAGCATGACGACTACAGTAATAAAAGCACGAAGCGCAATGCGTGGGAAGCAGTCATAAGTAAATTTGTTCCCAATTTCAATGATATGTCCGAGTCTGAGAAAAAAGTAGTTGGTAAGTAGAACATTATTTATTATTATATTAAAACAAATCACACGTATACATGGGCGTGCGCAGAACTTTAGTACAGTTGAGACCAAAGGCGGATAGGCAAAAAAAAAAATTTGCCGGGAAAATATTAATGGGGCGGCATAAATTATTCTAAAAATGGTATACAGTCAGGGACACCAAAACTCTTTTTCTAATGAAACCTAAAAACAGTAAAAACCCAATTACATAGATATTAGTTATGGATGAATGATGAATAATATAAAATAATTCAAATTAATAATATAATAACTAAGTTTTTGAAAAATTACATTTTTTAAAAATGGTGTCACACTAAGCTTAACATTCATAAGTAGCATAATATTATTAACTGTATTTAAAAAAAATAATTACATACTTTATATAATATATTAATATTATAAAACATAGTTTTTAATTTATTTACAAAGAAGGAAAATTATTAAAATTAAAATGTAATATCATTTTTAAAAATTAAAAAAGTAACATTTTTTGAAGTAAAATACTTTTTGTTGCAATAATATTAATAATATCCTCATTATCAAGATTTGATAAAATACCTTTTTCTAAGGCCATAAGCATGAAACATTCTAAATGCTCTTGTGTTAATGAATTCCTTAAAGCATTTTTTAATATTTTTAATTTTGAGAATGAACGTTTGCAAGATACTTGCGTAACTGATAGAGTTAAAATTAATTTATAACATATAAATAATCCAGGATACGCCCCACTAAACAAATTATAATGCACTATTAACTTGTAGCAACAATTAATACAACTATTACAACTGCTTTCATCGTGATTGTTACTACTTAATTTACATTTTTCATATTGATATTCATCACTGCTATCAGAATTATCTTTCATTTCATTTGTTAACTCAGAATAATTTGTTTGAATACTTTTGTTTAAATTTTTTCATTTAGAACGAAAATCTTTTAACTCAACTTGAAGATCATTTAATATTAATGTAGACAAAAATGGTGAAATTAATTCAAATACCTGTTTTAAAACAGTTGGCTGTACATTTTCTGAATGGTCTTGGAAATTTTTAAGGTCAAGACATGAGAAATCTTCACATAATGTTCCGTGTTCTGCATACCTTTCTTCAAAACTGTTGGTAATTGTATCCATTATTATATTGAACGAATTTATTTCATAAGACAATAATGGGTCAGTCACATGATTGTCTTCTGCCTAATAGGAAAATAATCTTTTTTTTTTTTAATCCGTATGGATGGTAAATTTTCACTAAAAGATAAATTTGTGTCATAATTAAGAAATAATTTTTGATTACCCCAATTTACAACATTTTGTGATGCATTTTGAATTTCTTTAAAATCTCTGGAAAAGGTTTTCAAACAATTAAACGTTTCTTGTACCTATGCATATTCTTTAAGAAAATCAATTCCTTTGATTTGCAAGTATAGTGATAAGGGAGTAGTCTTTTCAAAAATTCGTAAAAATATTTGGGCGGTAATTACAGTTTCATACTTGCAAAGTCCTTCGAGTAAGTATTTAGTCTTAAACCTTGCTTCTGGTCTTAACTTAACATTTGCAATGACTTATTCAAAAATAATTATTGAATCTATGTATTATGAACCATCAGGATTATTAAAACGTCCAAATATTTTACACAAGGCTTTATCTCCTATTAAGTTTAATTTTTTTTTGAGAAACTTTTTCAGTCCACTTGTCCATTCTTTTATGCGAGTCTTAGAAAAACACTGCACATTCATGGATAAGTTCAAATAATGACATTGATGAAGTAGAAATATTAGTTGTATCACACATCACTAAATTTAAAACATGTGCATAACACCAAATATGCACCTGTCCTTTAGTAGCTTCACTTAATTTTTTGTTGAACCCATTATATTTTCCTTGCATGTTAGAAGCACCATCGGTGGAATTACCAACACACTTATTTGGATCTATATTTAAATCTTTTAAAAGCTTCATTAAGATATCAACAAAGTCAATTCCTTTGGTACCAGTGCACTTAACTACACCTACCAATCGTTCCTGTACTGATGCATTTTTCATGTATCGCAAAATAGAGCATTGATCCACTGTTGTAATGTCTTGTGTAGTATCTAATTGAACAGAATACATACCAGCTTTGTTGACTTCTGAAGATATTTTAGATTTGATTAACTGGTTGATTGCATCTATAACATAGTTTTTTTTTTTTTTATTATTTTAAACAAAAGTATATTTACAATCTGTAATATTATTATATACAATAAGTAAATTTGGTAACATAGATAGAAAAAAAAAGACAACATGATATTACGTGAGGAGGGAGGTCCACCAGTGTGGATACCCTCAATTGGAAAATAATTACATTTACGATATGTACATTTGATAAAAAAGAAAATTACAATAAGCAAATGGGTGAATATACAAATTGACATGATTATGGGAGTGAGGGAAGCTATCCAGTGATACCCTCTAGGCATTACGACTAATTTTAAATTCTAAAAATTTTTTTTTTTTTAAATTAAAAGGTCACGACACCAACGTCTTTTAAGAAGGCGAAGAGGGTTGTCTGGGATTGTGACTGTATGTTGATGGGCAATTAGTGGATTAGGGTGTGGATTTAATTTGGACTGAAACCTTTTATAGTGCGTTTTAACTAAATCAACAACTGATACTATGTTCAAGTCTTTGTGGAGAGTGAGATTTGAGACATACCAAGGAGCAGACGTGATTATACGGAGGGAAATTGATTGGAATGCTTCAATTGTTCTTAATTGTGAAGGTTTGGCACATCCCCATATTTGGACTTCATATGACCAAATAGGTCTTAGCATTGACTTGTAAATAAGTATTTTGTTGTGAAGAGGAAGTTTAGAATTTAGTATAGGGCGTAGTAAATGAGATCTATTATTTAGTATCTTTCTTTTGGATTTGAGATGAGGGCCCTATGTTAGTCTTTTATCTAAGATAATACCAAGATATTTGACTTCAGTCAAGGAGGGGATTGAAACTCCTTAGAGGAAGAGAGGAGGCATATTTTTTTTATTTAGAGTGAAAGGAACATGCACTGATTTTTCTGGATTGATTTTAATTTTCCAGTCTGTGGACCACTTTTCAATATGATCGAGGTGGAGTTGAAGATCATTGTATGCTTCTAACGGGTCTTTATTTGGGGATAAGATAGATGTGTCATCGGCGTAGGTAGCTAGGATGGTGTTTTGAGTTTGGGGGATGTCTGAAGTGAAAATATTGTACAGGTCGGGAGAGAGATCACTTCCTTGCGGAACTCCTGCTAGGATAGAAAAGAGAGTTGAAAAATAATTACCATGACGAACTTTAAATGATCGATTTTCAAGATATGAATGAATAAGTAAGTAAAGGGTAGCAGGGAGGAATAATTTTAGTTTATAGAGTAAACCTGGGTGCCAAACCCTGTCAAAGGCCTGAGCTACGTCAAGGAAGACTCTCGGGCAATAATTTTTATTTTCAAAGGAGGAAGAAATTGTATCGACTAGTCTGTGGACTTGTTGTATAGTAGAGTGTTTGGTACGAAATCCAAATTGTGCATTAGGTATTACTTTATGGGTTTCCATGATTGGTCTTAACCTTTTCAAAATGAACTTTTCGAATAGTTTCCCGAGCACAGGGAGTAGACTAATTGGTCTATATGAAATTGCTAAATTGGGGGGTTTACCCGGTTTAAGTATAAATATAATAATAGATAGTTTCCAAATGATAGGGAAATATGACAATCTTAACATAGAATTAAATATATAAGTTAACAAAATAATTGTTTTTTTAGGAATATGTTTTAAAATCTTGTTGGTTATCAAATCATGACCTGGTTATTTGTTGGGCTATAAACTTTGAATCACATTTGCAATTTCATTTGGAGAGACATGTTTGGTAGGAAGAGACATAGGTAGAGGAGTGTCAAGAAAGTTATTTACTTTTACTAACTGTGTGTTACTAGGAATGATATCGGGGTGAGGTATGAAAATATTCGATAGGTGTTCCCCAAAAAGGTTAGCTTTTTCAAGATCTGATAGGGCAAGCGAACCGTCTAATTTTTTAATAGGACATGAGAATTATTTTAATTTGAGCATGTTTTTAGTGGTTTTCCATAATGAACCATTTTGAGTGTTTATAGATTTGAATTTTGTTTCAAAAAAAGTCGTTTTTAAATTTTTGGATTTGTTTTTTAATGGTGTTGGATAGGTTATTAAAGGTTGACTTATCGGAAGGTAATCTTGATCTTTGCCATCGGGAGCGGGCCCTACGTTTTTCGGCGATTAAAAGTTTTATATTAGGAGGTAAGAGATAAGGTTTTTTTTTTTTTCAATTGGAATTCTGATTAGGAGAATAAGACTCTCATAGACAGCAGATTGAATTGAACTAACTAATTGTTGGGCTGCAGATTCTATTTCGTTGCATGTTTTGAGGGGGATTTTTAGGTTTGTGCAATTTTCTAAGGCTGAAGAAAATTTTTCCCAGTTAACTGGCCCTTTGGAAAGGGAGGGGCGAGGAGAAATTTGAATTGGGAGTTCATTAAAGTTAAGCATAACAGGTGAATGATCGGAGGAAAGATCACATATATTTTGAATAGTGTGAGTTATACGGTTGAGGATTGATGATATAAAAAAATCCAATATATCGGGTTGTCTATTCTGATGCGTTGGCCAATAAGTAGGAACAGGGGGTGAAATGGTTGAAAACCCTTTCGATTGAATGGAATTATAAAATAGACGACCTCTAGAGTTTTCAACACGGCTACCCCATAAGGGGTGTTTGGCGTTGAAATCGCCCCCGACTATGAAATTGCCCCAGTGAGGATAAAAATTGGTCTAAGTGGAACTGAGATATACTTGGACGAGGAGGACAGTATACTGCTGAAAAATTATAGGAGTATGGCTTATTGAAATTGAAATATTTGTTGCTTGGACAGTGGGGATTTGAAAACACGGTAGAGGATGGTGTTGGATTGAAGAAGAAATTAGAATTGCGGAACCCGCGTGTGAAGTACCGTCCGGATGATTGGTTTAGTAGATATTAAATCCAGGAAAAAATGTTTGGACTTTTCTGTGTAGTGGGTTTCAGAGATAAGAGCTACATCGATTTGATTTTCGATAAGAAAGTTTAAAAATTCGGATTCTTTATGTTTAAGACCATTAGCATTCCAGAGAATGATTTTAAGAGAATTGTTGTTGGCTTGATTATTTATCATTATTTGGGATAAGTTTATTTATTACAGCGGTAAGCAATTGAATAAGGGGATAAATTAGTTGCTTGAACACTGTTAAGAAAGAGTATAGTTGATTGTTTGGTATATTATCGGGGGGATTGGATTGATAATATGTTTTACTTGGAAAACTATGCTTCTGGGAATTATTGGTAAGATTAGGAAAAGTTTTGGTATCTGTGATGTTGGGTGGGGAAGAGTGGGTCCTATCACTGGATCGCAGTTCCTGTTTGTTAACAATTGAGTTGTTATTTACATGATTTTTAAAAATTTTGTTTGATTTAAAGTTTGAACGTTGTAAGCTTTTGTGGACTGAACAGGCACGGTAATTTGCCGTGTAGTCGCCTCTACATAAGGCACAGGTTGGAGGCGTATCTTTTAATTGAGTACACTGTGAAGTGGGATGGAAATCAGCACAACGAACACATCTAGGAGGATATGCGCAGTATCCTTTTGAGTGACCATATTCTTGGCAATTAGAACATTGTATAATATCACGTCGTTTGTGGGGTTCCTCTACCTTGATTTTAGTATGAAGCAATGAAGTCAATTTGAATACCTCATTGTTGATTTGAACAGGTTCAAGATCAACAAAAAATATTGGAAGGGGACGTTTGGTGACTTTGTGAAATATATTTGTAACCAAGCGGACAGAATAGCCGATATCTTCAACGGCAGCACCTACTTCGGAAGTTGAAGTAGAAGGGTGCAAATTACGGATTACAATACGAAATGCTTTGTTTTCACGAGCTTGATATGTATGATTTTCGGCGTTACCTGTTTTTAAATATTTAATAACCTCTCTATACAAGTCATGGTTGGTAGTGATAATTTTCAAGTTGTTTGATGATGATTTAAAGCTGAAGTTTTGGGAACCGATCACCTTTATTAATTGATTGCGTAGTTCAATGAAATCAGAAACATTGCGTACGAATATTGGAGGGGGTAACGGAATATGATTTATTTGATCATCAGCATTGCTAGAGTGGTTTTTTTGAGTATCTTCTGTTCCCATAAAGTTTTCGATATCATGTGAAGGGAGAAGATTGAATCTATTAGTGCTGATAAAGACAGGTTTTGGTTTCTTTGTTTCGGTATTTTCGGTTGAACTGGTTGAAGAGAGAGGTTACGTTTGGATTTGTTTTTAACTACTTTGAAATCAGGATCAACAATTACGTCGTCCGAAAAAAACATCAATTGAGGTGTTTGATATATTTGAAGCACTCTGTATACAATTCACATTATTATTTAGTGGATTTGATTTATTTTTAATATTTTGCTTGGAATTAGTGAGTGAGCTGCTCGAAGACGGTCTATTGGCGTGACCGGTCATTATAAAATGCGATAAGACTGGAACAGCCACCGGCTGGGCCGGGGAGTTCCAAGAGATAAGAAATATTTTAAAACGATTAGATAATTATAATTAAAATTAAAATTACCGAATTTTGGTCGCTGTTGGGTTTGAAACAGTACAGGGCTTAAACTGGACAACAGATTTAGCCCTGGATTGACGCAACTAGTCGATTGGTATAAATCTTGAGATGATAGTACACATAAAAGGTTAGAAAAAAAGAAAAACACAGTAGAATGAGAGAGCGCGCACATAACGCCACGGAGTACGGCGAGCGAATCATATAACATAGTTAACAGTGGTTTTCGACAAAAAAGTAATATTTCCTCCCTCTTACTTCGACCCACGATCATGACTTTTTTGACTGTTATTAATAACTGTATCAAGATGACTTTTTAATGTAGAGTCATATTTTCCCAATAATGTAATTATTTCCAAAAAATACCATGGTCCAAGTTTTCATCTTTTAATGTATATGCAGCTTCATTTGATTTACCTCGATAACTCAAACCCCTCTTTCCAATTAATTTCACAACATCTATTATCCGGTTCAATATTTGTCGATGATTAATAATTTGACTTTTTCTCAAATCCCTTTGGCCATATGTAAGAAGATGGTCAACAGAACCATGTTTTTTTCTAAGTATGTGAGCATCTACGCTGTTTCTATGACATTTTGAACATTCATGTTCTTCAATACGGTTGTATAAATGCTTCCAATCCATTATACCATGTATAAATGTATTATTATCAGTATACTTACCATACAAAATACATAAACTACAAAATATAGCAGGGTTTTCTGATCTGAAAGTTACCCACATACGATTTCCTCCATCTTTTCTAGTATACGCTTTGGCTGCAGAAAATGGTATATTTGTTTGCGGTTGATACGGATGATATTGTAAATATGCAGCAAGACCATTTTCATTAAGCCGAATAAAATAATTATGGTGTGGATCAGGTTCATTCCTTTTTTCTACCTCCATACTTTTCTTTGCACCATTTTCAGCATGAACATCAATCAAAACATCTACAGAATTTTCTTTAAAAAACATAAAATAAAAACCTATTAGATATTTTTATTTAAAAAGAAATTGGATTCCTATAACAATATTTAAATATAAACAAGTCAAAATTACATTTAGTATGAATATAATATGGTAAAATTTGCTAGAAACTATGTATTAATACCTTCTCTCTACGTGTCATTCTGTACTTCATTATGAAAAGTAGAGTTAATAACTTCAACTTCCACTGCTGAATGTTCTTGTGCACCTAAACTTGTTTGACCTATAAGAATAAAGAATTATATAAATTATTATTTTAAAATCAAAATCAAATCAATTATTGTTTTGTGATTAATACTTTAAAAATATTTTATATTAATAAAGTATTATTAAATCATTAGATATAAAAAAAAACGCACAAAATAACTACATATATAAAATAAAAGAATACAAACGACAATACTTGTCAATACATAGACAAAATTTAGTTTTGTAAAAGAAACTAATAATACCCTAATAATAAATAATAATTTAATAGAATTAATTTAATGAGTTAAGTACTTAATAAAAATAGCATAATATCCTATCATGTAAAATTAAAACACGTTTAGTACAAAATAAATGTTTAGTATAACTTACCGCACTTAATAAACATATCTGTTAATTTCAGACATTTCTTTCCATCTTCTTGCAGTTCTTTTTTTTGTTTTGCTAAACGATATGCAAAACCGGACAATTTTGGTTTTTTTGTTTTATTCATATTTTTCTACATTCAATTTGAATAACGTTTAATACATGATAATTTTTACAAATTAGTATAATTCCATTATTCTTACCATTAATATTACAGAGCCTTCAGTCTTTGCCACTTTGCCAGTACAGGGGCGTCATTTGGGGGGGGGGGGGGCAGACTATGGCAAATGCCCTACTCTAAAATTTTTTAAAAAGTCGGCAATTCTTTGTCCGATGATCAAATGCTAAAATCGGTTAATACTAAATAGTAAATTTGTATTTACTATTTTATACTCAGAAATCAGATAATATTATTCTCTTTTAAATACACATTCACGATTTATTAATATGTTGGGAAACACTGGCTCCTCCTCAACTTACGACAATCGTTATTACGCGAAATACTTCTATGGAATATCTAGAAAAATTCTAAAAATAGATATACAACAAATTGTTTGTGTTGATAATATCGATCGCCGATTGCCGACTTCCACGATCTAATCATTAACTACTAACTAGTATTATTAGTATTTAACTGGTATTATAATATTTCATCTGTTCTCTGGTATTACTACTATTAATGTTATTAGTTATTACTTTATACCGTGCTTTATACCTTAGAATATTCATATCTGAATTATTATTTTGTAATTAAATTATTAAAACATTAAGTTTAAAATTAGTGAAGTTTCGAATTCTAAAGTTTCTTCAAAAAAAAGAAAACGAATAAAACTAGAGTGTTTGATTTGTGGCAGTGTATTTGACGATGACTATCGTAGCAAACATGAAAATAACATACATGGAGGAAAACGTGTACGGGTAAAGCATGGTGGAGCACCAAATAATCCTTTCGACTTAGCTCGACAAATTTCCAAACACAAGTAATTATTAAATAATTTTACTTTTATAACCTACTTGGCTTCTTTAATTATTTATATTATGTATTTTTATTATATTTCTTAATTATTTTATGATTTATATTTTATTTCAGATTAATAAAGAGTGATCTTACATCTGAGTTAATGGTAAATTTAATTTATTTAATACCTATTTATTTATTTTTTTTGAAATTTTTTATAAATTAATTTAATTTATAACTGAATTATTAGATATTACAAATTTTAAAAAATACATGAAGTAATATTTTATAATTACTTAAAATTTAATTGATGATTACTTTATTATGTATATGCCATGTAGTCAGAACATCATGCATTTAATTTTAATGTGGAATTATTTTATAATTTGTTTCAGACTGAAGAGACTGATACTGATCTTAAGTCTAGCAAAGAGGAATGTCCTATTTTCCCTAATACTACATGTGATAAAAAAATTCAGAATTCTCCTATGTCAGTTCTATCAGAAACAATTACATCTGGATCAATGGTAAATTTAATTATATCTATAAGTAATACCTCTGTGACTGTGAATCTGTAGTTTCTCTTTGTAAAACAGAAACATTAGGTATCTAAAATTTCATTAAAGCCACTATTTTAAAAAAAAAATTAAAAATGTAAATTTTAAGTTTATATATTAAAAATAATATTCTATTCACTCATGTAATATTTTTAGGGATTTAAAAATGAAATTCCATTTGATTTATCATTGACAAAAAATGATCCTCCTGCTCAACCAGAACTTGCAGCATTTCCATTAACCAATAAAAGACATTTTTCTTCATCTTGGTATAGTTTATATCGTTGGATTGAATACTCTATCATTAATGATTCAGTCTATTGTTTTCCGTGTAGACATTTTACTGCTCACATGATTTCACCTGGAGAAGTTAAAGGTAACATTCCATTCATAGATTATGGCTTAAAATGCTGGAAAGAACCAAGAAAAAAATTCACTAGCCATTCTCATAATAAAAGACATATTATTTGTATGGAGCGTTGGAATGACTATATGTTAATCAGAAATAATAATAAAAAATCAATTTCTTATTCTCTAAATGTAGCTAGAGTACAAGATATAACTGAAAACCGTAAACATATTATGTTTTTACTTAAAGCTACACTCTTTCTTGCTAAACAAGGTTTAGCATTTAGGGGACACAATGAAACTGACAATTCCAATAATAAAGGCAATTTTATTCAATTATTAGAAATGTTTGCTGACGAATCACTGGCAGTTAAACTTAAGTCAAGATATGGACACTATACATCCCCAGAGTATCAGAATGATTTAATTCACATTATAGCTAGTTGTACTAGAAAAAATATTCTTAGTAAAATATCATCTATTGGTGTATATACAATATTAGTAGATGAAACCAAAGATATTTCAAAAAAAGAACAACTTAGTTTTGTACTGCGCTTTGTTGATTCTGATTATAATGTCCACGAAAGTGCAATTGGCTGTTACCATATGAAAAAATCTGACGCTGAAAGTTTATCTCATGAAATAATCAAAATTATTTCAGAAAATAAGTTGGATATAAATAAATGTATAGCACAGTGCTATGATGGAGCAAATGTGATGAGCGGGTCATATTCTGGTGTCCAAAAAAGAATTCAGGCGATTGTACCTCATTCTCTGTATGTTCATTGTTACGCACATCGCTTAAATCTTTGTCTCATACACACTCTTAGCAGTCTTTCAATTATTACTAATTTTTTCAACGTTGTTCAAAGTCTATACAAATTTTTGATGAATGGGCAAACAAAATATGAATTATTTGTGGAAGTTCATAAAAAAAAAAAAAATTAGATGTTATTCACCTGGAACGTTTAGTTGATACGCGTTGGTCGTACTGGTACAATTCTCTGAAAAACGTGTACTGAAATACGTGAAGTACTGAATATTCTTCAAAATGATAGTGATGAAAAATCTCGAATATTGTCAACAGGCCTTTTAAAAGAAATTTCATCATTCAATTTTATTTTAATTCTTTGTACTATGGAAAAAATCTTAGAAGTTATACATTGTGCATCTTGTGAGTTACAAAATTCTTCATTGTTACTTCCAGTAGCTATTAATTTGATTAAATGTACAAAGAAAAATTTACTATTAATGCTTTCTGATGGTGTTTGGATAACTATTGAAAAATTGGCTCATGACAAAGCCGTGAAAAATAGAATAGAAGAGCCATCTAGTGAACTAAGACCTCAAAGAATAAAACATTTCAATAAAAATCTAAATGAATATCATGTTACAACTACAGCAGGCCAAACAAATCCATCAATTAAAATTGAACTATTATATACAGTAATTGACAGGTATTTGAGAGTTTAATGTTAAATACAATGTAGTTTAAACAATATAATCGAGTAGTATAAATATTAATTATTATTTTATTATTTGTTTTTTAGATTTACCATAGAAATGGATAACAGATTTTCCGAAGAAACATGTGAAATTTTAATGATTTCTGAAATTTTTAATCCTTCTAGTGAAGATTATTTCAATTCAAAATCTACAAAACTTCAAAATTTCATCAACCATTATAAATATTTTCAGTTTAATTATATATCTATAATTTCTGAATTTTCTACAGCTAAATCCCTCATTGAAAGAACAAATATGCAAAAACCAGATATTCATTTTATACTTAAAACTCTGTCGGAACTTCCAAGTGCTTTTACTGAAACACTAAAAATTTTGACTATTTTATTAACTTTGCCTGTCACTACAGCTACAAATGAGCGATTTTTTTCTTCTTTGAAACGCGTTAAATCATTCTTAAGAAGTACAACTGGGGATGATAGATTGAGTGATTTAATGGTAATAAATGTTGAAGGAGAGTATGCAAGTCATGTAAACTTAGAAGAAGCTGTTGATATGTTTGCTAATATTAAGAATCGAAGATATCCTCTAATATTGTAATGCAATATTATAATATATAATGCATTATATTGGACATACAATTTTATGTTTTTATAAATAAGTTCTTAAAAGTTTTAAATGTACAAATAATTCAATTTTAAGTATTTATTTAATATGATTTATATTATTATTCCATTAAATCTATTGATACTTTATAGGTAACTTATAGGATAAGTAAATAAATTAATGTTGTACTATTTTTAATATTATTATTTAATTGGGTAAATTGAAACGTTTCATGTTATTTGTTTATCATCATGACATCATTATTCATTAATCCTTACATGTTTTGTTCCGAAAAAAATATTTTGTTGATGGTCTATTGTCCATACATATTAAATATATAGATAACCATAATTTTTTAAATATTATGAAGTCGGCAAATTTAATCAGTTGCCCTACCCTTTCAAAAGTTGAAATGACGCCCCTGTGCCAGTATCTGATCTGATCACACGATTACAAAATATAAACGAGAACTAATCGTATTTTGATTGTTTCATTATATTATTTGTTTCACATTTATTCCGATAAGCCAAAAAGCAAATGTTTAAAAATAGATATTTAATAATCTAATACGCTTGGTTCGGCCCGTATAATACGATTTCATGATAATTGTGACGTTATCATCGACTGTCACGAGTGTATATTATTTTTGTTCTATAACAGTGGTTCTCAACGTTTTTTCATTCACGTACCCCTTTACCACTCACCACTAATTCACGGACCCCAAATATCAATTTTGAATATAAATAATGTAAAATAATAATAATACTAATAATAATTTTTAAGGAAAATTTTGAAATATTTATTTATTTTAATTAGCTTGCGCCAAACAAAGTATATAATAATAATAATATTAACTAAACAATTTTATTTTAATGTGAACCTTGAGCTTGTTTGCTTGAACTTAATTTTTTGAAATCTGGCTCTACACTCGATAAATAAACCCGTAAGTCTGAACTTACAGACAGTTTATTACGATACTTATTTTTTATGAACGTGTACGTAGAAAAGGCCCTTTCCACCAACATAGTGCTTGTGAATGGTAGCAGAACATTGAGTGCTTTGCATGATAGCTCAGGATATTCTTCTTTGATATCAACCCAAAACGCGATAATTGATTTCTTTTCAAATGCTGCCTCAAGTGAAGAATCCGTTTTCAGTTCTATCAGTTTTTCTTTTTCTTTTACTGATAAAACTGCAGTTTTGAAATAGTTTTCACTAAAAGGGAATGCGATCCAGTGGTCTTCTTTTCCACATTTAGGAAAGTATTTTTCAAAAGCTGCTATGAGTCCATTCAAATGTTGAATAACTTGTTTTTTGATGTCTTGTGATAGGATCATATCAGTTTCACAGAGGAAATCGTATAGTGTTTCAAAAATTTCTGGTTGATTATTCTCAATACACGACTTCCAAAACTGTAACTTTTTAACAAAAGATTCTACTTTGTCAGTGACTTGAAATGTTGTCAGTGCACTGTTTTGAAGAGTTAAATTTAGAGTGTTTAGTTTCAAAAAAATATCGGACAAGTATGCAAGTTTTTGAAGCCATTCGTGATCGTTGAATTTTGATGAAAGTTGAAAAGAATGGTCTTCAAAAAACATTTGAACTTCATGCCTAAGTTCAAATAAACGTGTAAGAACCTTACCACATGATAACCATCGAACCTCAGTATGAAGAAGGAGGGTTTTGTGAAAACTGCCCATGTCTTCACACAATGATGAAAATATTCTGGAGTTTGTGTGACGAGACTTGATAAAGTTGACCACTTTACAAGAATCATCCAGAACGTTCTTCAAATCAACTGGAAGAGGTTTCGATGCAAGAGCTTGTCGATGGATGCAACAATAAGTCCACTTTACCAGGGGGGCTACTGCCTTGACACGCGTAAGGAGACCAGAGTAACAACCAGACATAGATTTACCACCATCAGTACTTAAACCACAACACTTGGACCACTTTATACTCTTTTCAGTGAAATAAAAATCAATTGCGTGAAAAATATCTGCACCTGTTGCGCGTTTAGTAAGAGGATGGCATAGCAAAAGCTCTTCTACGCTTTCATTTTTCTTTAAATACTTTGCAATTACTAACAAAACAGTTAATTGTGCGACATCAGTACTCTCGTTAACCTGAATGGAAAATAATGGACTGTCATGGATATCTTTTAGTATTGTCTCTTCAATATCATCAGATATGTCTTTGATTCTACGACTGACTGTATCATTTGATAATGGGATAGCATTTATTTTATGGACATAGTCTTCTCCAAACATGCAAGAAACTGCGGCTTTAATGCTTGGCAAAATCAAATTTTCGCCGATGGTATGATTTTTACCACTTCTAGCAATACAATAACTAATTTGAAAAGAAGCTTCGACAGCATTTTCGTTGGCACTACCTGTAGAAAGGTAAGTACGCATATTGCATTTATTTTTATTTTCTAGCAAACGTTTGAAAAAAGTGATATTTTTGTCCTTTAAATCTGAATGTTTAGTATTTAAATGACGAGTTAGTAGTGAAGGCTTCATACTGCCATTAGATAGTACTTCTCCACAAATGACGCATTCAGGTCTAGCGATATTTTCAATCAAAACAAATGAAAAACCAAAGGACAAATATTCTTCACTATATTTTCTTATCTTAGTATCACTAACCTGTGGTATATTTTTTCTTAGGATTTTCTTCGACAAAATTATTAATCAATTACGGCATTTCTTGAGTGTTTCGAATAGGAGTGGTTGATTCTGTTGTTTTCCTTTTACTAACGGTACCAGTTTTTAACCATTGATCCATGATGTAATATCCGCGAAATAAAGCGACTGCCTAATAGTTAAAATATATGTACATGTACCACTCACAAATATCATATAACAACTGAATAGTTGACGATTATTAACCGTACATGTGTAGGTACCTTGTATGGCTTATCTGTAATACAGCGATATAACGAGTATCTACAATTGTCTAAAAATAATCTACGAAAATTGATCTACTTTAATTATCTACATTCTACACTTCTTCACAGTGTTCGTATTATAATGATAAAATGTTATCGCATTAATAACATTAAATCGCAGACTCTAAATTGTAATCAGTTCACAATTATTAAATATTTCGTTAATAGCAAACTATTTCAGTTACGTTATACTTTTTCCGCCATTACTCAATTTTTTTTCGCGTACCCCTTGAGATCATGCCACGTACTCCAAGGGGTACGCGTACCCCAGGTTGAGAACCGTTGTTCTATAACTCTCGTATTCGTTCCGACGATGAATAAGTATTATAATAACAATAATAATAATGTTTCTAATAACAATTTATCTATGGGGTAAACCACCAAACTAAATTATTATCATTTTTTTACATAGTAATAAGAAGCTAAGTAAAAATAAATATAAGGTACTAAATGTTAAAGGCCTTATGGATTCAATCTTGAAACAATTTACTCCACTGCATATCAGAAGGGGGCGCCCATAATACGGTGGCGCACCGGTAAAGTCCCAGTATCCCGGTGGGCCTATCCGCACCTGGTTGAGACACATTTTTTTTAGTAGGCACCCGATAAAGATAATAGTTATTTATAGCAATACCACAGTTATAGAAAAAATAAAAAATAAAATAAAATAATAATGATATTAAAAATACAGAAACTACTGAACAAAATAAAATAAATTTATATTTTTTCCATTTGCCACGATACTTGCCCTTCTTTCATAAAAAAGTCAATAAGTTCTGCTCGAACGCATTTGGTTGCATTTCCTGGTTGAGAATTGTCTACTGTCGTATCATCAATCAACCCACTAATAGCGATATTCTATCCTCAAATGTAAAGTTATCTCTGTCCCTCACAAAATTGTGTAAAAGACAACACGATTTAATTATATTTTCTACCAAACTTTCTTCAACATTAAATGCACGATGTAAGATTCTCCACTTATTACTAAGTATTCCAAAACTACATTCGATGTATCTTCTGGCACGTGTAAGGCGATAATTAAACACTTTTTTACCCACAGACAAATATTTTCCACCAAATGGTCTCAGAAGAAATTGACAAAGTCCAAATCCCTCGTCTCCTATTAAAAAATAAGGAATTTTGTCTGACCCTTTATCTGAAAGAGTTTTGAGTGGTGGTAATTTAATTTTGTTAGTTTTTAATAATTTATACAGCGTTGAGTTCTTAAAAGTTGTTGAAGCACTTGATTTTCCTGGTGCTCCTACATCAACGTATAAAAATTTGTAATTTGAATCACACGCTGCCAGCAAGAGAATGGAAAAAAAGTGTTTATAATTAAAGTTCATTGATGCACTGCCCTCTGGCTTAATTACTCGAATATGTTTCCCATCGATGGCTCCAATAACGTGTGAAAAATTAGCTCGTTCTTCAAATTCTGTAGCAACTTTTGCTAGTAGTTCTTCCGTGATTGTAGGGAAACAACTTTTTTTAAACGTGGCCCAGAGTGATTCGCATACTTCTCGAACAATATTAGATATTGTTGATAATCCAATGCGATAATTGATGTGAAGATCGCTCATCGTGTATCCAGATCCGAGATATCTAAAAAAAAATAATATTTTAACTAAAGATTTTTCATGTCACAGGTAATTCATATCAGCGAAAATGGAAAAGTCTACGCAATTCATATACACGAGAATTGGCAAAGCTAAAGAATGATATGAAATCAGGTTTAGCAACAAAATTTCGAAAAAAATACATATTTTTTGATCAACTCAAATTTTTAGATACTACCACAAAACCTACAGATAATAGTATAGAGTTGTGTGACCGTGAAGGAAATTTGGAAGACAGTAAAGGAGTTACTGAAGAAAATATTAATAAAATGCCCTATAAAGGAATGTCTAAGAAACGACATTCTGACAAAGATCTCTTGGAAGTTCTAAAAAAAAAATATTATCAACAAGAGACAAAACAAAGTTTGAATTATGAAAACGAAGACCGATTATTTTTATTATCCCTATGTAAAGATTTACAATCTATACCGGATCATATGAAACTAAATTTTAAAACACAAATGATGAATTTAATAGCGTCTATTAAACAAACAGCTTGTACTGCTTCTTCAAGTCAGCTCTATTCTTTAACCACTTTAAATCAATACTCACATCCAAATCCGATACGTCCACAATTTAATATAAACTCTTTTCAAGCCAATCTGCATCACCTGCCATAGGAACCAACGTAAATCGGCCCATAAATACACATTCTGAATTTGGAATCGAAATACCAATATACCAGAACCAAACGCGAACGCAGCATCAAGACCAGTTATGGCCTACGACTTATAGTCCCGAGGATGCATTATCTGTTCATAGTGATTTATCTAATGTTGCATTTAGCAATAAAAAGTAATTTTCCAAAAGTATGTTAACAATTGTTTTTTTGTTTATAAGAATTAAAAAGGGGATTTAATTTAATTTAATTTTTTTTTTTATTACAATTTTTTATTTAATATATTATCTTGTTTATAATATTGATGATATATTAATATTATTTTTGAAAAGATATTTCATTTATTTTCAAACATATTTTAAGTATATTTCTTAAAATAAAGCATAATACTTTAAATATTGTAAATCTATTATTCTCACCTCAGAGTTAAAGCTAGTTTTTCATTTGGAGGAATGGAATTTCTCATGACGGTATCTTGTTTTGTTATATTATTTTTGATACCAGATAAAAGTTCTTTGAATGTATTCTTCGACATATGAAAATATGAGAAAAATTTTTCATCATCTCCTTCTAAGTCATCAAATAGTGTATAAAATAATCCTCTATTTGGTCTTTCTAGAAGCAATGGATGCACCCAGAATCTTCTCGGTGTATTTTTACGGTTTTTTTTTTTAATTTATAGCATCGCCAACAATAGTTCAGTTTCCACGTCCATCTTGAGAATGATGTAGTGCTCTCGTGTTCACATATGTCTAATGATACACATTCGCAGCACCACTAACGCGCTTCTAAAAACATTAGTTGCTCCACTGACGCGCTTCTAAAAACATGAGCAGCACCACTCACGCGCTTCTGAAAAAATATTCAACGCTATTGATGCTCTGCTAAAAAACGCTGTAGAGTGGTTGCGTGTGAAAGAGCCCTAAGGAAATTATTCTATGGAAATACAGAGAAACCTGTCAGCCATCTATCAACAAAACCTATTTTTACTTCGACGGCGCACGGAATTTATGTATTAACTATTATTACAGTCCGACTATTAATTTCATTGGTTTGCTCTGACTTTAATACATCCGTCCGTGGTATTATTACTTATTAGTTATTAGTATTGTTCAATAAATCGTTCCTTTACACTTAAGGTAAAGTCTTTATATACATTATTTGGCATTCTCAATATTCTGTGCAATCAACTTTATACTTATATACGGTACGTATTTTTAAATTATTTTGTAACTGTTTACATAATATGTGTTGTTTACAATATAATATATAAAATAATTTATAAAATATAATTATTAAATGCTTAATGCTTCTTGTTTTTTTTAATTTCGTTAAATTGCTTATGGTATTCAGATGGTTAAAACTAGTAGAACGCAGCCTAGTGGTTCTAGTAATCACAAAAAGGCTAAAACTAAAAAAATTGAAATTGAAAAAGTTATGGCAAAATTTCCTTGTATAAACACTTATTTTAAGATCAATAACGTGGTAAACAGCCCAGAAAAGACGTCAGGTAAGTCATACTTTTAATATTTACTTTCATAAATTTATATTATTAATATTCAATAATCATAACATAACAATTTTATTAAAGCTGATTATTTTTTTTTATACACTAAATTAAATTACTTATATTATTAATATCATGATATTTGTTATTAATGATTATACTTCTAAGATTATATTATATTACTATTTTTACTTTTCTATATACATAAAAAATGTTTATTGTTTACTTTAATATAGTAAATATTTAGCTTAACATATTGCAAACTAATTTGTATAACATTTTTTATGCACTTAGTGAATATGTAATTTATGTTATTAGTTTTTCATTCAGTTAATTCAAAGTTAAGATAAAATCTATAATTTTCCTTCTTAATATACTATTGTATAGCTAATGAAATTTTTCAAATTATTTGTTACATTTTTAGTCTAATGTTTTCATTTATTTATTAAATTTAGAAGATTTTGGCAATAGTCTTATTACTGCTATCAGTTCACAAACGGATGATCTTTAACTCCTTGTGTTCGCACTGTGTGATATCGGTTCGCATCGTACGACACCGCGGTGCGGTTGACAACATCTGTTGTGTGATAACCGTTCGGTGCGTGCGTGCGACCGTTATCCCATATTCGTTTTAAATGTTTACGGTTTCGTATTGCGTGTGTGCGGTCGAAACAAATTCGGTTATGTTTCGTGTCTTCGTAATTCATTAATCTCAGTGTCACCGATAATTTCATAAGTTCGCATATTTTTCTATTTGTGTAGGTGACACTGAACTTTTGTTTCATTCATCATGTTGTCGAGTTCGGTTCGTCAAAACCGTTGTGTCGGACCGGTTCGTTTTTCGTGTCCACTTTACTTTTTTCGCTTGCTGCGGTTGCGGAGGAGCTCCGTCCGGCGTCCATATTCGTCAGTTTTCATTGTTTGCAGTAGAAAACCACGTTGTCTACGATTTCGTGAATTGGTTGTTTGGTAAATATCGTTCGAACAATTTTTATTGTCAACGTTTATTCATATTATTTTCCCCAGCCTAGGGTGGTCATTATTGTTACTAGCAATCATTGTGAGTCGTGGTTTTCACATTCGTCATTTACTGCTGTGTTTTTCGTCCGTGCTGTTCTCGTCGTGAATTCATCGTTCATGGCTGTGGCCAGCTAATCGCGCACGCGTCTGTCATTTTTATTGTACTAATTTATTATTACGTAACCGGTGCGCGCATTGACTGACATAGCCACATGTGAGTATTGGTCGACCAAATATATTTATTTCCTTTTTTACTAGGACCGACGGGTCCTTAGTCATTTTATTATTTTATTGCGTAGTATTTTGCATTATTAAACTATTATTATCTTATTGCATATCTTACATATTTTAAAGAATTATTACACGTGACACTATCATTCTACATATTATAAATCATTATTTATTGTTATTACAAATTTAAAATTATTACCTGAGCCATTGTTAGGCCTAAAATTATTATTATTATTATTATTATTATTTATATATATTATAGCCAGTTAGGCATTTGTTATTATATTATATTATTACTACATTACTTATTCTTATATTTTTGGTTGGCAGTGCAGCACTTTTGGGTGGCCTGTCTTCCTGCCGTAAAGGCACCTTAATATTATTATTTATTTAAGCCGATTGCGGCGACACCTTGTAACTTAAATTTATCATGTGATCGGTAAATGATTATTTTTATTCAAATTATTTTATACTCTTTTATTGATTTTTTAATAATTAATTCAAATTTTATTTATTTCTTTAGGAAGGATATTAATTTGCACACTTTAAATGGAAATAATTTTGTTGATAATCCATTAGTCATTGAACAAGTAAATCTTAACAACACTGACAATACTTTAAATGATAAATTATTAGAGTAAGTTACTATTAATGCCTGCATGTGATGAAATGTTCTGTTGTTAATAATAAATTATTTTTTATTAAAATGCTTATTAGTACTGCTAATATTAATGAGCTATTCCCAACTGCAAACAATTGTCACATACAAACTGCTGTTCCCAAATAAGTTAAAGTACTTCTTTCTCAGTATTTTAAGAGAACATTGACTATGAATTTTTTTTTTTTTTTAGTAAAGACCTGTTTTGTGGGATTTAAATGAGAAAACTAGATACTATATAACACTCAATGGCTTTGATCAACATTTAAAAAATGCAAACTTTACTTCGTCAAAAAGGTTATACACAAAAGTAATTCGTGGCACAAAAAAATCATACTTCAGAAGCTTCAACCAAAATTTTATCAAAACTAAACTTATTAAAGGAAAAGAAGTAAATCGTAATTATACAGTATATTCTAATTGTACAGGTAAAATATATTGTGCACTGTGTCGACTATTTAATGATAGTAATTCTGTGAACACTTGCCACTTTTGGATTTTGCAATTGGAAAAAATGTGAAGAAAAAGTAAGTCAGCACGAAAATTCAATTAACCATAAAAATTGTGTTATTAAAATGAAATATAGGGGAAATAAACTAGGACGTATTGACAGTCAAATTATTTTACAAGTTGAGACTGAAATAAAATACTGGAAAGAAGTTCTAACCAGAATAATAGCTGTGGTGAAATCATCAAGTTGTAGAGGACTATCATTTAGAGACCACGATGATAGATTTGGATCAACTCATAGTGACAACTTTATCATGTGTTTGGAACTTATAGCTGAGTTTGATCCTTTTCTTGCTAATCATATTTCAAAATTTGGAAATAAGGGTAAAGGAAGTACTTCTTATCTATCTTTTTCTGTGTATGGAAAGTTTATAGAAATTATGGGTGAAAAAGTTAAAAACACTATCATTAATGAAATC